GTTAGAGGAAGGACGCGAGAAGGTAGTGGAGGAGGAGAATGCTAGGAGGGGGGAGAGGAGGAGGTAGAGGAGGTAGACGGAGGTGCAGGTGGTGGTTGGGGAGGAGGGAAGAGGAGGAGGGGAGAATGTGATGGAGTGAAGGTAGGAGAGGATGAGGTATTAGGCGCCGCTCCTCTACCTCGCTCCCTCCTCTACCGTTCCTCTGCCTCTGCCTCCTCTGCTCTCCTCCTCCTCTACCTTCTCCCCCTGCCTCCTTCTTCCTGCCGCACCTTTCTCCTCACCGTCTATTCCCTCTGCCTCTCTTCACTCTTTCCTCCTGCTTCTCTTCCTGCCTCCTTCTCCTCCTGCCTCCTCCTCGCTCCCCTCCCTCACTCCATTTCCTCTATCTCCTCTCCTCGCTCCTCCACATCTCTCCCGCCTTCTCCTCCATCACTCTCGGCCATCTCGCTAGCGCTCCCTCCTTCTCTACCTTCTTCTCCTGCGCACCATCTGCATCCTCCGCCCCTGCTTCTCGCACCACCTTTCTACCCACGTTCTCCGCCTCCTCCTCCTACTACGCTCCTTCTCCTGCCCCTCCTTCCTCCTCCTGCCTCTCTTCTCCTCCACTCCTGCCCTCTTCATCCTCTTCTCTCCTGCTCCTCTCCTCCATGCTCTCCACCTTCTCCACTCTCCATCCTTCTCCCCGCCTTCTCCACGCTCCTTACTCTCCCACGCACTTTCTCCCACAGTTTCCCCTCCTCCTCCTCCATTCCTCGCATTCTCCTTTCGCTCCGCCCTCCTCCACTTTCTCCCCTCCTCCCTCCTCTACCTTCTCGCCCGCTCCTCCTCTCCACCACCTTCTCCTCACGTTCTCCCCGGCCTCCTCCTCCTTCCTGCCTCCTCTACCGTCCGTATCTTCTCTTTCCTCCTCTTCCGCCTCCTCCTTCCTCTCCTCCTGCCCTCCTCCTCCTCGCTCTCTCCCTCCTTCTGCCCCCTCCTCCACGCTTCTGCCCCTTCCTTCCCCTCCACCACCTTTTCCCACGTTTCTCGCCCCTCCTGACCTCTCCACCACCTTCTTGCGCCCCTCCCTCGACCTCCTCCCTGCTATCACATGGTCAACCGATGATAATAAACACCAAGTGTATGTAATAGTCTCGGCGGGGGTAAATGTTTCTGGGTGTAAATGTCCGGGGGGAAAATGTCCGGGGGTAATTGTCCGGAGGTAAGAATTGTCCGGGGGTAATTGTCTGGGGGGTGATTGTCCGGGGGTAAATTGTCCGGCGGGGTGAATGGCATTGGGGGGGTAATTGTCCGGGGGGTAATTGTCCGGGGGTAATTGTCCGGGGGGTAATTGTATGGGGGTATTTGTCCTAGAACCATATGCATATATATATATATACACATATATAGGTGTACAAAAACTTACCGTTCTCTTTCTGATGTTGTTGAATCATGGTTGGATAAGTCGTCTGGAGGCTCGATCACGTGCCCTTCTGACTTTCGCTTGTTCGGCCAGTGGACTCGGTTAATGAGAACTATGCCAGGCATGCTGACACTACGATGTATGCCTTCTGTCATCGCCGCCGTTTCAGCATGACCACCTTGTCCCTGCCTGGTCGTCGCGTCGTCTGCTGATAACTTACCTGAACTGTAATTCATATACGTTGAACGACGCTGTCGCTCTGAGGGGCAGCGGTCGTACGCTAGGCAAACAACGACCCGGCGCTGAGTGCGCTAGCCGCTCTGATAGGGATGCGAGAGTGCGTGTTTGCATACGCAGAGCTGGCCGAGTTTACACGCTGCGTGGCCGACGTCCGGCTGAGATGCGGCGACGCGGGCGTTCGCTGCGTCGTCATCTCGTGACCTGCGACCCGCCATCACGCGGTCGTGTTCAGCCGCAAGGTCGTGACCCGGAAGCCGACGGTAGCTTCCGTCTCCGCATCCGGGCCAAGTTAGGATCACGCTTGCTCACACGGCGCAATCTGGCGAGAGACGCGAGCCGGAGTGAAGCGTTCCAACCGATGACGAAATGCGATGAAGTCGTAGCATCGTTGCTAGCGTAGGGATGCACGGTTGTTCGGCGTTGCCTCGGTTCTCGAGTGTGCTAGCATCTGCAACGGAGAGATGCAAATGCAATGATGGAAGCTGGGACAACGCGAGCGCACGGGCATGGAACGCTGCCAGGGCGAGCGCGGCCGCGCAGCTGAGATGACATGCTTGGTAGGTAAAGCTCAGCCGGGGATCTGCGCGGCTCGGCAAGAGGTGGTGGCGACGCGTTACCTGGTGACTACTGCAGTCGTTCAATATGATTGCCACGGCGACCGCCTGCCTGCCCACGGACGCACCTGTACCTGGGTGTATGTACACGAGCTAGAACAAACAATTGCTCGTTGCTTGCGACGAATAGCGCGCATTGTGTTGCGTGTGTACATGTTCGCACGCGCGCGTGCGTACGTGCTCGCGTGCGCGCGTTTAGTCGCTCGTGTGTTTGTTTGGGCGTGTGTGACCGTGTAGGTAATAATTGAAGCTTATTGATGTTCTTTCTGACATTTTATCGGCCATTTTCGGCTGCAACAGAAAGGTCAAACATACATAAATACATATATTACGCACGTATGCGCAAACGCACATAAATAGATAGATACATACATACATACAAACGTACACACGTACATACGTGCATACGTGCATACGTACATACGTACAAACGTACATACGAACATACATATACGTACATACGTACATATACGTACATACGTACATATACATACATACATACATACATACCTGTATGTATGTATGTATGTATGTATGTATGTATGTATGTATGTATGTATGTATGTATGTATGTATGTATGTATGTATGTATGTATGTATGTATGTATGTATGTATGTATGTATGTATGTATGTACGTATGTACGTATGTACGTATGAACGTACGTATACGTATGAATGTGCGTATGTGCATATGTACGTACGTATGTACGTCTGTACATATCATACGTACATACGTACATACGTACATACG